ATCTCAATTCATTAGAACTCGTTTTCAATAACCCTTGTTTCTGTATTGTTTTACAACTGGCTATCTAATTACCTTTAGAGCATCTCCAATGCTCAAATGTTGTTGTGGTAAATTACATTCTACATCAACATATTTAGTAATATAACAAATTTTCATCCTCCAATGTACAATGTGATCACAAATGTTATGGTGTTGTGGACATAATTAATGCCTACAATATAGAGAAAAATGTAGTTCATCCACATTCTCCTCCACATTCTAGCTAGCCAATGAAGAGAAGAGAGAGAATTATTCTTATCATTTTCAAGCTATTTAATTATTTAATTAATTTTGTTACGTCATATTAAAATTTAAATATCTGGTAAATAGATAATATTGTAGTTAGACTACATTGTACATTGGAGATGATTTTTTAATTTAAAACTTGTGAAATTAATATTTTTTCAACATGGTTCACAGTGTATTTAATTTTTTTACATTTGTCAAAATGTATCTTATTACAATATTAGACCATTGGAGATGGTTTATATTATTGGTGTAACATTCTCATTCAACACACATTAAGATTTGATCACCAATTGCTCGCCGAAAAAGGAAGGCTTCTTATACTTTGAGCTAAAGTAAGTTTTCATTTTTTAATTTTTAAAATATAAAACTTCAGAAAAAATACAGTATTTTTTTTTTCATAAAAATATTTACTGCACAAAGGTCAACTCCAAATAGGATACATATTTCTAAAGTAAAATCAAGTTAAAATGAAAATAAAGAAGGGTAGTGTAAAAGAAAAACGTTTTGATAGAAAAAAAAAAAAGATTAATTTGAAAAATGGAATTGTTTATAATATAAAATATAATAATTTAAATTAACATAATGTAAAATAATGGGTAGTTATATGGTACAAATTGATATGCAGTCTCACCTAAACAATTTTTTTTATATAAAATTTAAGACATACCATTATTCTAGCATCCCTAATTAGCCAACCTTATATTCAATTCTCTTAAGTAAAAAAAAAATATTCTTTTACTTATTCTTTTATGAAAAAATCAGGAATTGTATTGTGAAATTGATTGAACATGAGTGATGGTCTGTGGCTGATGTACCTTTATTCCAAACTTATCTTTTGTCACTAAAAAATAGTTAAACACTTCAAAGAAAAGAAGGTGGAAGAACTATAGTTATCGTATCTTATTTTCCGGATGTGTGTTATTATAAATTAATTGATTAACTAATTAACAAGAACTTACGAGTTGTTAATAAAATTATTTCTCGAAAGAACAAATAAAATTTATTATCATAGAAATATTCTAATTCGAAAACATTCATGCATTGACTATCAATCTTTATGATAATATGTAATAAAAATCAAACCGTTTTAATTTAACATATATTTAGATCGTAGATAATAATATTTATTAAAAATTAACTAAATAAGTCCATACTTTTTATTATATATATATTTTGTTGCATAGAATATATTGAAATGGCATTGTTGTACCTGTGCAATTGGATCTACATCCATTTTCACCTATCCAACTACCAATCAAAAGATTAAAATAACCATTCATTTAATTCACCTTTGTCCTATGCTCCATTCACATTTTTCAAACATAATTTTCAAATTTAAAATATCTAAATTTTTTTTCGTAAAATAGTATTCTTCAACTCATTATTTTAAATATCCATTGCTATTTTGTTATTTTTCTAACACATCACAATTAAATATTACACTTTATATCACTTTAACTTACATTAAAAAATATTAATTCTTCTACTACCTATTTATTATCTAACATTATCCAATCTCATCAATGACTGAATTTAATTAAATATGTATTCATTTGCACCACAATTTTACTTACCTCTATTGGAAAAAAACAAAAAATTGATGTCGTAAAATTGGATATTTTACCTCAATTTTATGTTTGCAATTTTGATATATGGGGGAAACATCAATTTTGAATCTCACATGCACTTCACGTGCCCGATTTGGTGGGTTAATGTTGATAAAGATAGGAGACCAAAATACAACAAATTTAATAAGGTTTGTGGACTAAACTGGATAATTTAATTGAATTTTGACCCCTTAATTTTTTACGTGAGCAATTTGACCCCTTTTATACACGAACTTATTTTAGGACATTTAGACAAAACTCATGTTCTGATTTAATAAATTATGATGATAACATTATGTGAATGTGTTAAGTACATTTTATTGAGGTTGGTTTACTCAATTAATACTGGATCAATAAAATTTTATGAGCTAAATATCACAAATTCAACTTTATTTGACCAAATTATAATGGTTTTCAACTTTATTTGACCAAATTATATTGGGGGATGACAAATGTTGCTGAGACTACAAAATTAAGAGTTCATCTAGTATTGTTTGTTCCAGAATTTTAACATAAAATATACTAATATGTGTATCCATGTTTTAGAGAAATTGTATGTTTAGAGAATGTTTAACAATAAATAATATACACTAATATATGTACCTTGTACGCATGTTTTAAAGAGATGTACATGAGTATAAAGTTGCAGATTCAGTCATATAAATTGCATGGCTATAAATACGCTAATTCTTTAGTACAATAAGTCAACGTGAATAATATTATATAATAACCCAAAACATGTGAATAATATATAATAACACAAAACTTATTTTTCAGATAAATTTCTCATTACAATTCACCGATAAGCGTGAATAATATAATACATAATAAGACAAAATTTATTTCTTAAAGATACATAAACTTATTTTTTGTTACATAACCTTAAAGAAATATATAATAATAAAAATAGGCAAAATTATTTATCACATATATATTCCTATATAATGTATTGAGATAAATCATAATAAAATTTAGACCATAAGATCTGTTAAGATAATACTACGGCGACCTTCTCCAATGTGCGTACGAACTTTTCCGATGTGCGTGATCGCACTGTATGCCGGATTCAAATCATATAAGAAGTTACTAACCACCTCGATTCCAGTTGTTGCAACTGTATTTCGCCACGATGCATCCATTTCTCCCTCTTTTCCCTCTCGTTTTTGAAACACAACTGTAGCATCCAAACGGTGGATATTCCATTTTCTATTCAATCGTTGGATTTTTTTGAGCTGTCGCTCTGCCAACGTACATGTATTTATCTTAATTGAATCAATTGCCTTCTCAAGAAAGATTTTACGAGTTTCTTTCCCACAAATCCATTCCATTCTGAAAAACTCGTCCAGTTCAGATACTCCGATGGCCCTCCGAATTCCTGTCGAATAGTCTGCATTTGGATCATAGAAGTTCCTAACTTCATCCACCATTCCCTTCTCCACCATTTTATCAACTCGATCACATACATAAGAATGAAGGACCGGCATTGCCACGTCCACCCAAAGGAAACAACAATCGTACTTTGATTGGAAATTCACGTCCACGAGAGCCTCAACGAACGAATTCGAGCCACCTACGATTATTGGAAGCTTGTTTCGACTAAGTATCGACTTAATCGAAACCAAAGCCGCGTCACAAAAGTCGGCAACCGAGAAATCGGAATCAGGATCCGCGATTCCGAGTAGGTGGTGTGGCACACCACACCTCTCTTCATCGGTGATTTTGTTGGTGGTGATTTCGAGTCCTTGGTGGACTTGTATTTTGTCAGAGTTTATTATCTCGGCCTCGAAACGAGTGGCGAGATCGATAGATAGGCGTGTTTTTCCAGTGCCGGTAGCACCCATCACCACTACAACTTTCTCTTTTGGCATTGGCATATGCATCAAAGGGCTTATGTGTTTGGATATAGCAAGTGACATAGTCTCTTTCAAGTGGTTATTGGACAAAAAAATGTCAAGAGTAAGATGTTTTGTATTTTATGACTTTTTTGTACAACTTTTAAGAAAGTAAGAAGAAAAAGAGAATTGAACAAAAGAAACTTAAATTGAAACGAGTTTGGTAGCCAAAAAGAGAGAGAATCGTTTAATAAGAGTAAATGCATGCAAGCTAGATAGGTGCAAATTGATGGTGTATTTATAGAGGGCATCGTCCAATAAAAGGCACATTTTTGGTCAAATGCCTCACTTTCTACTTGATAGTCAACTTGATAAAAGAATATTATTAAAAAATACTTTTTCCTTAAAAAAATAGTGGTTAGGCTTAGCTTAATGGATTATTAAAATTGAAATACGTGTAACAAGGGTCATGGTAGATATCATATTACTTTTCAAACACAATGCGTTTTAAAAAAATCACTTGGACTTGTTACTTTACATAATATTTTCTTGTGACAAACAACAACTAGAATAAATTATAGTTTCATGTTACTAAAAAAAATTTCTATAATTATATTTTAAGTTTTTGTTTGCATTTAATATTCATATTTTTTTCTTCTCTATTTTTATTTTTTTATTAAATACGAATCATTCTTTTTAACTTCATATTTTTTTTATTTTTTTATATAATAGATCAAATTTATTGTAATTTTCTAATTTTGTTTGAAATCTATATTGCATATACAAACGAATATGATAGTGATTTAAAAATGAAAATAAAGTATATTTAAAATCTTTCAAGAGAAAAATTATTTATGGTTTTATTTATATAATAACTAGTACAACGCACGTGTATTACACGGGTGCTTGTTAAAAAATTATTCTTAAATTTTAAAATTAATGAAAAAAATTATTTTAAATTTTATTTACTTTTTTACAAAAAATATATATTATTATATATTTTAAAATGACACTTATTACTTGTGCGACTTACATGTGTTATATTATAGTAATTTTTATAACTTATATCATACAACTACTTGAAATATAAATATATTAATTGATAAATAATTATATTCTTCTAATGAATATTAAAAAACAAATATATTATTGTTATAACGATAAATATAATTTTTTTATACATACAATATGTATGTTAAATCGAAGCTCATCAAGAGATGATTAATTTGATATATTATATATGTAAAACTGATAAAAAATATAAAAGTTATTAACTTTTAAAATATATTTACAATTCAATTGTTATAATAAGAAATGATATTAAAATGCAATTAATACATTAACATGACCATAAATACTCAACATATTTATGGATAATTTGAACCTAATTATTTTTGGTTTGGATATAAATTAAAATCTATCCAAGCACTACTAGAATATGAATCATCAAGAACAAAAAATTCCGTTGGTTAAAGTTTATTTTCCGTTGCTAATAAATAATAGGAACAAAAAAAATCCGTTTCATTATTGGTTAGTGAAAACAAGGGTTCTGATGCTCAGAGACGGATTCCGTTCCGTTGCTATCAGTAACGGCTTTTGTAACAAGCAAGTCGTTTCTAGTCTTCGAGAAATAGCAACCAAATTAGAAACGAGACTATTTGTTACTAATTAATGAGTAATAGAAACCAAATTAGAAACGAGACTATTTGTTCCTAATTGTTCATTATTAGAAACTAAATTAGAAACGGGAATATTTGTTCCTAATTATTCATTAATAGAAACTAAATTAGAAACTAGATTATTTGTTCCTAACTAATCAACAATAGAAACCAAATTAAAAACGGATTGTTTTGTTCTTAACATCTTAATATTAGTGACAATTACAATACAATGGCATCTTCTATTTTTTATTGTTGCATTCAATAAAATTGTTTTGTATCAAATGAATTCATTAATACCACTAAAAATAAGCAAGTAAGATTAAAGAAAAATAAAATAAAATACAATTATTTTATTTCGTCAATACAATAATAAAAAAATTCAATTGATAAAACATGAAGTACAATTAATACAAACTACTAATTATTTTGTCCTCAAATAAACTTGGAAGTAATATTTTAAACATTTCATGATTATGCCCCAATAGAACTCGTTGAGCCTTCTCTCGTTCTTGTGCCGCAGAGATGAACCCGTCATACATTGGCAGCTTGTTCAAGTCAAGATACCGTAATGTTTCCTGAGTCGCTGATATGAACCCTTCATATGTTGGTAGCTTATTCAAGTCCAGCTGCAATATCGATGCCTTCTCTTTAGTGTTACATTCTTGTGTGTGTAGATAAGAATCAAATTATTCGTCGTATCATATATTGGTGAAAAGAAGAAAAAATAAAATAAAATTTGCAGTGTTACATTCTTGTGTGTAGATAAGAATTGGTGAAAAGAAGAAAAAATAAAATAAAATTTGCAGTGTTACATTCTTGTGTGTGTAGATAAGAATCAAATTATTCGTCGTATCATATATTTGTGAAAAGAAGAAAAAATAAAATAAAATTTGCACAGACTCTGACGGATAATTCAAATCCCATCCTATTGTTTGACGTTTCACTCCTATAGAAGTACGTCTGCCCAATAAATGTATGAGTGTAATACTCAAAATGTAATTGCGTTCAGAGGTAATAAGATGATTCAGTAGTAGTTGGGAGGTAAGATGATTTGGAGTTTGTAGAAGAGTTTGGAGTTCTGTAGTTAGAGAAGAGTGTTTCAGACGTGGTTAGTAACGTGGTCAGTTAATTTAATATAGGATGGGGTAGTTATTATACTTCAACGCCTGGGTTAACCTATTTATTAATCCCAACTCAATATTTATTAATTAACTACATCTCCCTATTTATTATTAAGTTAACCTATTTATTAATTACTACTCAATATTTATTAATTAATTACAACTTTCTATTTATTAACCTAACATATTGTGCAACTCAATAATTATTTATTAACTTTACGTTTATAACTTTTTTTAAAAAAAAAAAATTATAAAAGTTAGCCTACCATATTTCAATTTAATTAGTTATCATACTTACAATATTTTATTTTAATATTATTAATATAACTGTAAATTGTATAAGAAAATACAAATCAAAACAAAATATGCTATAAGAAAATGAGTATCATATAGATGGTCGACACATAGGATTAAAATATATCTTAGTCCATAGAGAAAAGTTGTAGAAGAAACTAAATCATTAACTAAAAGATTTAGGAAAATTAAATATTCCATATAGAAAAATTGTAAATGATTATTAATTAAAAGATCTAGGAAAACTAAATATTCCATAAATAAAAATTGCAAATGAAATTAAATCTTTAACTAAAAGATGTAGAAAAACTAAATGATTCAAATAAAAAATATATGTACCAAACTAAAAGCCAAAAATGACTAACCAGTCCGACATTTTCTTGAAGCAAAAATATAATTTAAGAAAATGTATAATCAAGAAACATTATTTCAAGACATTTTCATGAAGTGCTACTCTTTTAATGCCAATCTATAATTTCTTGTTTCTGATGCATAATAATAATTCTGGACAATTTATTAGCTTTATGCTTGCTGAATTTATTATTCTGTTCAGAAAAGGGAATTTTTAGACTTACAGAACGGAAAATAAATCCAATCGAGAAAGAAGAATTCCTTTTGAATTTTGGCGAGCAGCCGATCTTAAGGGACCAGAGATGTTAGCCGCCGTGCCCGAGATACCGGAGAAGATGAACTGGAAAATTTGTCGCCGGCGCTCGTGGGATGTAATGATCGCAAGTTTGGGAAACGGAGGTGAATTGGTAAATTGAGAGTTAGGGATTTTGGGGTCCTGAGAGTGTGAAATGAGAGTACGGAAAATTAACACTAATAATTCAGTTGATTTAGTAAATTGAGAGTTAGGGACTTTGGGGTGCTAATAGAGTAAAATGGGAGTACGTAAATTCAACACTAATAATACTACAATTTTATTGTAGTATTATGTTTTAAAAAAATTTGTATCATTTTGATGCCATTCAGTTCTAACCGAACTAGCTTCATGGAGAAGTACTGACACCAAATTGAGTGATTTTCAATAAATTATTATCGGTTACCGTTATAAATTAATCGGTATGTTGTTGTTTATTTTCTCATAGGTTCGGTTCGATTTTTCAATTTTTGGTAAAAAGATACCACTCCTATTATTATTTAATTATATATATGTTAATATAATATAAATATAAACAAAAAAGAGGGTGAGACTGGGGTGGTCAGACATGGGCGGGCTAGGCCGGTGAAGGATTTAAGACCCGTACCAGGCAATGAAATATTTTACAATTATTTGATTAGCACAAGCGTTCGAACTCATTTAAGCTTGAATATAAAAATTTAAAAAAAAATCATATTTTAGAGTTTTGTAAAAAATATTATATATATAAACATAAAAAAAATTGTATAGAATTAATGTTTAGTGAACGTTTGCGAACAAGCTGGAGTTTGTTCAATTATTAAACGAACATAGTTATATATGTAGAATATGCTACAATTTTAAATCTTTAAATTAAAACCATTTATATGTATTTGTAACAAAGGGAGTTAGTCACAGAATTAGTTACTAATACAAATACATTGGTTTAAAGTACATTCCGTTTCTGAAAGTATATTCCGTATCTAAATCATTGTTACTATTGTAACAACTAAAATTTAGTTACAAATTTTGGTTACTGATGCACCATTTTCTAGTAGTGAAGCCTAATAACGAAGCATGTAATTTTGCCACATAGGATCTCAAAGCATACGAGTTTGCCACTTAGGCTCAACACGTTATGAATTAATATATAAGGGGAAGGGGATATTATTTGTATAATAATGTTATTATGGGCCATGTAACATTCATCCAACAACAGACCTACTGGTTAAGCCTACCTAACAAAAACCTGCCCAAATTACCTATAAGCAATGACTAATGCTTGGCCTTCAATCTAAATGAGTTACAAATTTAGGAACGTTTTTAGGGAATACTGAGTTACATAAAGATCATAAAGGACAAAGTTGATAATAAGAAATTTCTCATAATGGAATGGAATCCTAGATGGTCTCTTTTTGTTATCATCAACCTTAAAGTTGAAAAAGGTTCTC